CACATCCCTCGATCATTTGAATCTCCTCGACTTCCTCCCCAGGTTGGATATCCATTTTTTCCTTACCTCTCTCCCCTTTTTGCTTGTCTTCCTTCGAACTCGATCCCCCTGGTCGATTAACCTCCTCACTCTTCGACTCGGCCTGCCTCTTCACCAATTGCTTGTTATTGCTGACTGTCGTTTGGTAGCAACTTCTCAAAGTGAGCTGATCCCCGGCGATCTCCCCTACGTTTTCACCCACCGGATATTTAATCGTCATGTGGTACGTGGATACGACCGCCTGGAACGCATTCAAGCTCGTCCGTCCCATGATGATGTTGTAGGACGACTCAGCTCCTACAACCACAAATCTCACCATACGCACCTTTCTCAACTCTCCCGATCCCAACGCCACGGGAAAACTAACCTCTCCCATCGGCATAACTTCTCCCCTATTAAAGCCATAAAGTGTCGTGGTCACCGGTTTCAGCTCCATATTCAGCTTTTTGTTAATCTGCACAAAACAGTCGTAGAACATCACATCTACCGAACTCCCGGTATCAATGAACACCCTCTTCACGTCGAAACGTGCAACCTATGCGGTTATCACCAAGGCATCATTGTGCGGCAGGACCACTCCCTCGGCATCCTCCGCCTTAAAACTTATTACTGGCATGCAGGCCGTGATACTCACCTCTTCCCTCTTCCTTTTCATTGCTCGAACGTGGCCTCTCCTCGCATTGTTCGAGTCCCCGTCAGTCGGTCCTCCTAAAATCATATATATTGTGCCTCTTTTTACTTGGCCTACGTCTCCTTCTCTTTCCCGCTCTCTACTTCCTCGCCTCCTCTTCCCCTCATCTCTTTTTCGACCATCTCGACCGCCTCGCGCATCCTCATCATCATCTTCCTCACTTCTCTTTACCGAGTCCTCCCGACACCTTCTCTTCTCCTTCCTCCTCCCCTTAACCTGATAAACAAACTCCTTGAGATGCCCTGCTCGAATAAGGCGCTCAATCTCGTCCTTGAGATGCCGACAATCCTCAGTAGTATGGCCATAGTCTTTGTGGAAGCGGCAATATCTCCTCGACTCTGGTTGGGTGGGCCCCTCGAACCTCGACCTTGGCCACATCACATCTTTCCCATCTATCCCTTTTTCCATAGCCATCAGAACCTCGGCTACCTTCGCGTTCAAGGGGGTGTAATCATGGAATCTCTTCCCTCCAGAGATAGGTCGGTCCTTCCACCTGTCCTATCGCCCTCGATCTTGCTTAGCTCGCCCCTCCCTCCTGGGCGAGGTTTTCCTTTTAGGCGACACTGCTTTCTCCTTCCTTGACTCCCCTCGACCTAGTTCCTCTAGTTTGGCAAACTCTGCCTCAGTCTCCTCGAGATTGATATATTTCCTGCATCTCCTCAATACTTCATCATACGTGTGAGCAGGGGTCTTAGCCAGGGAAGTCCGACACGGCCCTGCCCTCAAACTCCTTATCAGTCCTCCCGCCTTGACCTCGTCGACCGCCGATGGAATCTCCAAACAAGCCTGATTGTATCGAGCAACATACTTATGCAGTGACTCCTTCTCGCCTTGTCTCATTGCCATCAATGTCAAATACGTTTTCTCCTGAGCCACCGCGCTCGAATATTGATTTGTCAATTTCTCCGCAAAATCCTGAAAGTCCACTATCGAGCCTGGGGGGAGCTGTTGGAACCAGTCGAGCGCCCCTCCCCTAAGGGTCGATAAAAAGGCCCTGCAACTAACAGGGTCAGTATATCCATGCAACACAGCCATATTTTCGAATGTCCTCACGTGTCTCGACGGATCAGAAGTCCCATCAAACACCAGGTTAGTATCCTTGTAATTATTTGGCAAGGGTGCTGCCAGTATGCCCGCCGAGAACGGGTGTTCTCGAGCGCACCTCTCTGCTCGACCATCCACCTTAGCCTGCAATTGGCGCAGCTGTTCCGCCATCCTCTCCATCTCCCGGTCATGTGTGGGCCCGCCTCCTCCATAGCTAGATTCATCCTCCTCCGCGTTTTGTCGTGACCCTGCAATAGTGTTCGGCGTCGTCATAGCCCGAGAGAGACTATTTGTGACTTGTTGAACCGCCTGCGCGGCCGCCTCCGCCACCATTTGTTGCATCTCCTGCCTGGTCGTTATCACCTGCTGTTCGGGGGCCCGAACCACCGCTCGCGGCGGTGCCCCTCCTTGGGCCATCGCTCCTTCTGGTTGCGTCCCCGTTCCTCCCGGTTGCGCCACCGTCCCTCCCAGTTTCACTCCCCCTCCTCCAGGCTGCGCTGCCGTTGAGCTGCGTGGCGGTGGTGGTGGCATCGCCGCTGCGTCCGCTGCGCGGGCCTCGTGAGCACGGCTGGGGCCAGCGTCTACTTCGGGAATCGCCGTTGTCATTCCCACACCTTGGAGCACAGGCATGGGAGTGATCGGCGTCTGTGATGGACCATAAAAACCCGGGGGAGGACCCTGCCCCAATGGTCTGGTCGTTGTCCAAGCATCATCGAATGTTGACTGTAAATTTTTGGGAATTCCGTCCGCCATAGCTGATCTTCAAGCACACCTTTTCAAACGAAAGTCCCACAGACGGCGCCAAATGGTAACACAAAACTCCTCGACCAGCTGGAACTTGAGTAATCGCCTTCCTTCTTACCGGTTGAACGTCGTGCACCTACAAAGAATTCTCACACCGGAGGGGTTTCCCGGTGAAGAGCCTCCGAAGCTTAAGTCAGTGTATATTCAATCAATTCTCAAGAGTAAGTAGCAGAATGATCGTGTTAAAGAAGAAAAGCTCATCCCTATTATATAGGGGTGAGATACCTGACCTAGGGCTGCCCGGCTTTGATGAGTTGTATGCCCTAACTGCCCGTCCGTACACACCAAACGCGTGTGTCAGAGGTAGCCGTCGCCACTATCGCCTGCACCAATCCTCTTTGGACGCGTGTCCTCCTGCACATGGGGTAGGCTGTCAGAGGTGGTTATCGCTATCCACCTCTGCCTTCTCGACACGTGTCCCCCTGCACATGGGATAAATATTCTCCTGGAATTCCGTCAGAGGCTTCCTTCACGCGCCTATGACTAGGCCGATCAGCGTGGTGTTAAATCCTCGAAGTAATCGACCTGCTGAGGTCGAATAGGTTGCTCGATTGCGTATCTGGTCAAAGGATAGTTTGGTCGACAGCCTTGCTTGGTCGACTGGTTAACTGCCCGATTTTCTTGGCTTCCTCATAATGTGACCTCCTCGACCGGTCAACAGACCGGTTCAGCCTTGTGGGTATAATATCCCATATCAAGTATGTAGCGTCACAGTTGTGTAAGTTGACTTCATTGTCGTAGGGTTCGTAGCCTTATCGAGATTCTACTCGAGAATACAACTTCGTAGTTTTTTAGTCGACTTCGTAGTCGTAGGCTACGTAGCCTTATCGAGATTCTACTCGAGAATACAACTTCTTAGTTGTTTAGTCAACTTCATAGTTGTAGGCTTCGTAGCCTTATCGAGATTTTACTCGAGAATACAACTTCGTAGTTGTTTAGTCAACTTCGTATTCGTAGGCTTTGTAACCTTATCGAGATTTCACTCGAAATACAACTTCGTAGTTGTTTAGTCGACTTCGTAGTCGTAGGCTTCGTAGCCTTATCGAGATTCCACTCGAAATACAACTTCATAGTTGTTCGTTAATCGACTTCGTAGTCGTTGGAGTGAGCCGACTTCATAGACATTTTGAAAAATTCAATTTTTCAGGTAATCATAGTAAGGTCGACATAGAAATGTAAAAGACATAATTGAAGCATAAACTTGCGGTTAATTTCATTACTGAATTTGATTTGAACATTGTTCAGTACAAAAAGGAGTTTGAAATATTGCCTTAAGCATAAAAACGTTTGAGGTGGATCTCGTGCCAAGAACGCGGCTACTGTCGACCTTCTCCATCCTCGAGTTCATATGCGCCCCACTCGAGTACTTTTCTGACAGTATAGTGTCCTTCCCAATTAGCTTCAAGCTTCGCGACATGTTTGAGAGCGTTTGCTCGTTTGAGGACGAGATCCCCCACTTGCTCGACGGATCGTACCCAAGCTTCTTCTCGCCCCTCTTCGATCAGGTCAAGGGCTTCTTCGATCATCTCCTTATTTTTATTTTCCTCGTAGAATGTCGACATGTGGGATTTTAAGCCGACTTGGATGGGAAGGAGTGCGTTCATCCCGTAAACCATGTGAAATGGGATTGACCCGTTGAACTTCTCGGAGTCGTCTGATAAGCCCATAAGAAAGTTGTTAGCTCGTCAACCGAGGCTTCCGATGCTTTCTGTAACCTCTTGTTCAATCCTCGAAGAATTGTTCTGTTTGTTACTTTGACTTGGCCTTTTGTTTGAGGATGTGCAACTAAATCAAATCGTTGTTTGATCCCCATGTCGAGGCTCCAGGTTTGGATCCGTTTTACCTGGAATTGCGTTCCATTATCCAAAATCAACAACTTTGGGATTCCAAATCGACAACAAATATTATTGAACTGAAATTGCATCATTTTTTCTTCGGTGATCTTTGCCAGGGGTTCGGCCTCGACCCACTTGCTGAAATAGTCGACTGCTATTACAAAAAAATTTCTTTGTCCCGCTCTTATTGGCAAAGGACCCACTAAGTCGATTCCCTATTGGGCAAAGGGATTTGGAGTATTGATCATCGTCATGAATTTGGCCGGGATATGAGTGATTTGCCCATGGCGCTGACATTTTTCCGATTGTTGGACCAACTGTTCTGCCATTGTCCGAATATGAGGCCAGTAGTAGCCTGCTCACAAGGCTTTTCCGGTTAAGGCACGAGACCCTATGTGTGCTCTGAAACATCCTTCGTGAATTTCTTTTAGGACATGGATTCCTTCGTCTTCGTAAACACATCGTAGATGGGGTCTGACCAGCGCCTTCTTATACAAGATCCCACCGACTTCAAAGTATTTGCTTAAATATCGAGCCTCTTTTTTTGCTTCTTGTTTGTATCCTATAGGTACTCGGCCCTGCAAAAGTTCACGAATCGACTTTCTCCTATCGTCTTTTTCATCGACTTCTATTGTTTCGCCAAACACGCTACCTTCTAAATGCATGGTGGTGATGGAATTTCCCATTTTTCCATCATTCGAACTTGCAATTCCTGTTAGCCAATCTGCTCGTTTGTTTTTCTCTCGCGGGACTTGTGTTAGCTCGAATTTTTCCAATCCCTGTACAAGGCTTTGGATTTCCTCGACATATTTCATCATTCTCTCCTCCTTTATTTTGCAATTTCCCAACACCTTTCCCATGACGAGTTGTGAGTCAGAGTGCGTCGCGATTTCTGTTGCTCCGCCCCTAATTACGAGTTGGATCCCTTTGATTAATGCCTCGTACTCAGCTTCATTGTTTGAGGCCTTGAACCCTATTATTATGGCAAAATCGAGTTGCTCGCCCTCTAGAGACACGAGGACGACCCCCAAACCAGATCCCCCAGCAGCCGAGAATCCATCGACATGCATGATCCATTTCTTTTCTTCCTCTTTGGTACCTTCTGGGATAAAGTCTGCCAAAGCTTGGACCTTTATAGCTCGTCTGGGTTCGTATCTGGTGGAGTCTTCACTCAACTCAACTGCCCATTTCACGAGTCGACCTGGGACAAAAGGTCGACCAGTGTTTCCCCAAGCTGGAAATTTGTTCTTACTAATATAGTGTGATTCAGAAAGTATGGCCTCAGCTTCCTCACTTTATCATAAGAGTCAGGGCAGCCTTCTCGGTTTCATAAGAAAGAACATGGGGAAGAAATATTTTTATTCTGTTCAATTCTTCTCGTAGAATGAGTTTATAGACTATCCTCCCTCTATATAATTCCCGAATACGTTGAGCTTACGTGGCTGCTTCTGGTGTTTCGTAATCCTACTTGGCGAAAAATCATGCTTCATAATTAGATTAGGACAAATAATATTGATATAATAATAATTAATAATCTAGGTTCGGACATTCCATAAATATTATTTATCTAACTTAGGTATTTTAATATCATTTGTACTAATATAACCCTTTAATTATTTGTAATTTTACATAGTGAGGCACTAAGTGACTAATATATCCCTGACTTTGATTTGTTTCCTCCAATTAGCTATTGAATTGTAAATGTATTTTAAAAGTTGATAACTTTTGTATTTCTTATCGATTTTACATATATTATGTATCAAATTAATCATCATTTGATGATCTTCGATTTGATATCCATATTGTATATATGAAATATGTAATATCCCGATATTTTATCGGTATAAATTATGTTTTAATTCCGATATAATAATGTTAACGTTTAGTATTTCCGGAATTAATTATTTTCAGTCGAGGTTACCGAAATTT